GAATAAAAAATAGACGCCACTAAATACTGACAAATTCTGGGTGCAGATGTCACGAAGTCAGTCAAGAAAGTGCAACTGATAAGAGGCTGGCTTCTACAAAAAGTCAGTGATCCAAAGCAGACCTCAAAATGAACTACTTCAAGAAATACAAAGTGAAGCTTTTTGAACAGCCCTCACAGTCCCCTGACTTGAACATATGTGGGTGTACAACATAGCCTAAAACTCTTTCCAAACTTGAAGTGATCTGCAGGAAGAGAGGGTGAAGATTCCTTAATCAAGAACAGAAATATTTTCAGCTCAGCTAACCGTTTACGAATGGTAGCATCTTCCAAAAGGTAATTATAAATACTAACACCTTCACATGCCACAATTACAATTTAATTTATGTTTTATTGATGAAGCAAAACTATGTATATTTATTTATTTTACTTCAACATAAAACAAGATGTTAATATACATAGAAGACAAAGCAATGCACACAGGACATTTACAAAGGAACACCAGGATATAAGCATGTGTACATACTGTAGTGAGGGTACAAAAGATTTTCATGTGATGTTTGAGGTTGTACTGTGTGGGTGTGTTCAGCTCTGCTCAGTCTGGAAATATAAATACCACTTCTAAATAGTCTGTGTTGCCTAGTAGCCATCAGTGTGTGTTCTGTTCATTCCTGCCGGTATCTGGTTTGACCAAGTGACAATCTGTTTTGCCCCTTTGGATCTTTGTCTTTGTCCATTAACAAGTGAAAAACTGCCTGACCACAGAGTTGCCTTTAACCCTAGCTGTCCTGGTTTGGAAGGTTTGCCTTTGAGTCCAACACCTGATCATGAAGGACCCAGCAGAGAATGTTTGTAAAGTGTCCTCTGTACCACCGCTACTCATCATGAGCAACATCTATCTATAGATAAATGTCTGACTTGAGGACTTCATCAGTTGCTATTAGGACACAAGAGGTGCTGTCATGGAGCAGATCCTCAAACTACAGTATCTCCCCAGATTCTCAATGGGTGTCTCTCTAGGTCCAGGTGTCATGGTTGAAGGGCCCAGCTTCCACTTTCTCCCGTGACAGTTTTGATATAGCAAGGAGGACTCAAAAGCAGAATGCAGAGACAAGGTAGATATTTGAAAAGCAGCTAGCAAGGCAAATATTTCTAAAGGGAGCAGGCACATAGGCTGAGAGACTTTTATGTCTGCTCTGAGGAGTGACGGCGCTGCTGGAGGAGCCATGAGCCAGGATACACAAGAGCATCATTCAGGGAGGTCATTTATGGACCCACATGCGCCACGCTTTAGATGAAGGATTAAAGGAAAGGACATCTCGTGTCTCTAATAACCTCCTCCTCCTCACATTTTCTCCTTGCATCTTATGTGGAAGGAAAAAACGCATGAAGAGGCAGGAATGACTGGGTCTGAAACAATAGGGGAATTGGTGTTGAGAAAATGGATTAGAATGTTAAATCTGAATTATGTGGAGAATGACCTATGACATCTTCACCTGTAGTCTGCCTGGAAGGTTTCTGTTCTGCTGCTGCTTGAGTACTGACTCACAACCCATAGTGCCTCAATCAGCGAACATATGCCTCTTGGGAGAACAAAAGGAACACTTAAGGAGTCACAACTTCACCCTAGGCCAGTTAAAGAGTTGAACTGCCAGCCAAGGTTTTTTTTTTCAGTTATCTGAAGCAGAGGGGATTCTGTCATGGTGACAGACAGGTCCTTTTATTAAACATTTATTTACAGTTTTTAGAGCAGGTTCACTGAGAGGCCACTTCTCTATTAGGGGAACACCTCCCCTCTTCTTTCAGACTGCCTTACTTGTTCATTAGTTGTTTCCACTGTTTCCTGTTTCTACTGACCACTTGTCATGTCACCTTCCTCTCCTGCTGCTTTCCAATTAATCATTAGAGAAGACTTACCATTGTTCTGTGCTTACTTTACTGACTGTTTCTGCTTTGGTTTACAACTGCCTGCCTGCCCGCTAAGGATCACAAGTCAGCTGAGCAGACAGGAATGTTGCCTTTAACCTGGAGTTTTTTCTTTTGAGTTATTCACATTCACAAACAAGCTACATTAATGATTCCTGAAAATCTGCGTGACATCCTCTGCAGTGCTTAGCATAGCCTCCACACTCATTGTTTGCCTTTGTGATTTTGCTCTTCACCTTCCTTTGCATTCCAATGTCTTCTTCTGACTTAAGAGTCTTCCCCTGGACTTACTGCTGGTCCTGGACTGAGAACACCTTTGACCTCTGTTTGGACTCTTGTTTTCTCCCTGCTCAGTTATGTCAACCTGGACTCTTAGTAAACATCTGATGATCCTTGTGCTTAAACTGTTAGACAGACCAACAGGTAAACTATAAGTGTCTGCATATGGGTCCTACACCTTAGCTTGCTGTTTCTTAAGTGAAATGTGACAGTAGAGTCTGACCAGGCATGGACCCTGCAGACTATCATTAATCATAGGAGGTGTACATTAACTTAGAAGATGGTTTCGACTGTTTATTAACCTACCGCCATTGCTGCTGCTGCTGCACTGATCATCCAGTTGCCAGCATTTTCAACCCTTAGTCCTTTTGTGCACCAGAGACTCAGACCCCTGGCTAACCAGATTTTCAGCCTCATCCACAGTCACCCTCCATTGCCGATGCCACAACTCCAGCTCAAGAGTCAGCCTCTGCCAATACCCAGTCTGTGCCTGAATCAGTTTCCTCAGCTGTCTTGCCTGTTTATCATTCTATCGGTCATGCTCTGGAGTCACCTGAATACTCTGGATTCCTCTCCAAGCACCTGCTTCCTGTTCACTCTTCACAGCACTCCTGCCTCCAACCATGGCCCCCTAATTTTCCTCCAGATGGTTTCCGCCTTCATTGATGACTTCCACGTCACCACCCTCCTAAATGATCTGTGCGTCCTGTTAAGTCCTGTGACCTTTTCCCCCAAGTGGCTCCACCATGAGCAATGCCACTGCCTGCCTGAAAGACCTCTGCTTCCTATTTGGTCCAGTGGCCACCCTCCTGAATTCATCAATTCATTAAGCCTCCAGCCTTTGGGCTGTCTGCTCAGGGTTTCATGCTCCTCAGTTCTGCAGCCTCCTGGATGTCTGCCAAAGGTCTTCACCTGATCCTTAGTTCATGATCCTTAGTACTGTAGTTCTTATCTCTGTTTGGACTTTTGCTTTGCCCCTGTTTCTCCCTCCTCAGTTTTGTTAGCCTAGACACTTAACCCTTACTCTACATCTTACGTTTGCTGTTAATTAATGAGATGAGAAAAGGTTTTGGAAAAACTTTGGCCAGGAGAATAAATAAGGATAAGAGCGAATGAACCATAAAGAAACCCTGTGTATGTAGGTGGTTTGGTCTCTAAGAGTTCATTGAACAAACAAGGTTTGTTTAGTTTATAAGAGTTATCTAACAAGATGTTTTGTGCCATTCCTCACTTTTTTTCCATATTTCAGAGAACTAAGGAATCAGAGGGTCAACACCTGCAGGTACAATCTGAGCTGGATACAGCAGACAAGGTTTAAAACATGGAGTGATGAACAGAGTGAGAGTCAGAAATATCTATTAACCGCATCTCTTTTGGGCTTCCAACTGAGCTCAGTTGTTGTTGGGTTGATGTTTCCAACAGTACAGGATTAACAGTGTGGACAGTTGGTGTTGGCTACATGTGTGCACACATAAACACACACAAAAAGATGAAGGGATTTGAGATTTGAAGAGAATTGTTTGCTCCTTTAGAACAAATCTAAAGCATGTCTATGTACTCGCACTCTTCCGAATGTGTTTAACCCATCACCGTTCGGGGAGGCTTGTGGGTAGTTTAGGAAATGGGTGACAGGATCAAAAATAGACATGTCATACATATCAAAAATATGTGTATTGTAATTATAAGAACACCTGCACACTCAGGCACATGTTCATGAACACATACACACACATACACGCCCCGTACACTAAGTCGCTGCATGGGCTGCCTGCAGGGCCACCGACATGGCCATCATTAGCTGGCTCTATTTTAAGGTTGAAGCCACAAGAAATAACATTTTGTGCATGCCAAATGCAAGTAACTGTTCATTTTAAATATTGTACATCCAGGCAGAAATCAGTATTTTCAATATTTCATAATTATGGTTGAGGTGATTTCTGAATTTGTTTGTACTGTATGGCTACAGGAGAAAGGTGAACAATCAAATTACTTCTAGGGAAAAAAGAATTGCATAAAAAACAAAGGAAGACAACCCAAAGCGCAACACTGGCTCATCTCTGCAGGCAGCTGGAACCATCTACACAGCAGTTCATCTGTTTATGTAAATCATAGATGTGCTGAATTCATATCTTGCTGTATAATCACATCTCTCCACACAGACTGGCCACTGTCCTCCTCATAATTCCTAATCTAAATAAACACACACACAAAACTACATCAGAGGTAAAATGTGTGGTAAGATGATGTGAGCTGGCCTTTGTTTATAAGCAGGTGTTAATATTTGTAAAATTACAGTCATCACTTTCAGAATTTAATCATTTATACATACATACACACACACACACACACACACACGTTGTATTTCCCTCATTTTAGGGGACATGTGGGTGTTTAAATTGGTCTGGTACCCACAGTGTGAGTAATACCAGGTGCACACATACACACACACACAGACACGTTCGTACAGATGTTTTTGAGAGGACACTCACTGACATAATGCATTCCCTAACCCATAACCATAACCTTAGCTAGCACAAATAAATGCATAACCCAACACTAACCTAAAGCTAGTTCTAACCAAAAACCCAGACTTTACCCTCAAACAGCCCTTTGAACGTCCTCGTTTTCCCAAAATGTGCTCACTCCCATGGTATAAAGCTCAAAGTGGTCCTCACAATGTATAGACAATGTATAGCCAAATAAGTGCCTACACTCACACATACAGTGCATACACTGGACTTGGTCCAGGTGGAGCAGATGCTGCAACACCCATGAAGACAGACTAAATTACTTCACCGTAGGCATGGCGATGGTTAGTTGGAGAAAATGGCTTCTGCTCCTCTCCAGCTGAGCTCCTCGGAGCATGCCAGGGCTGATGGAGCCTAGTGAATAAATGAGTATGATAGAATAGAACAACAATAAAAGAAAAATAGGTAAGAGTGTTTACTGAGAACAAGAAGATTGAAGCAGAGGAGGAAGAGACAGAGCAGATTCTATGATGGATAAATGAAGCAAAGGCAGGATGAGCAGCTAATAATTTTCCAAGAGCATGTGTGTCCACTGTGTAGAATTATTTTCCATCTTAAAAAGTTCCAGTAATTAAGCGCTAGGATTAGGGGTTAGAGTTAGTGACTAGTAACTAACAAGTTTATTTCAATAGAAATGTATTAATGTAGTTACAGTTTAGTTAGAATTCTAAAAAATTTTCAACTCACATTTCAAATTTGAAAATCTTAAAATTTCAGTCCCTCTTGATTTGGCAACAGAACTGGTTACCAGGGTAACAGTAAATAGGTTTAATACAAAAGCAAAGACTCCTTAAGCATCTGATATGTCAGAAAGATGGCCAACTTGTTTGTTTACCCACGTAAACAGTGGGTTGAGAGGATTCATTGCACGTCATTGTTGTAGTAAAGAAAATTTTAAAAAGACCATTAGCAATGTTGTCTAACAATGTATTACCAAACTCAGAATGCCTTGTGGGTGGGATAGGAAGGTTAACTGAATCAGTATAAGAGCAGTGAAAACTACCATATACAGTCAAAAGGTAACTGCTGAACGCACATACCTTTAATGCATATTGTTGAAAAAATGCAGACTGTAAAAAGTATAAATCATTTTTCATGATAATCTTAAGGATTACAATATTTAGGTCAAAGTGAAGATCATTCACAGGAAGATAAATGGAGATGGTAGAAATCTCAGCTTGGAACACAAGAAAAAAACCAAATGAAAGAAATAAAATAAAATAAAACACAAAAAGCATTGCTGGGTCACAGGTGGTAAAATGCTTCAGGTAGGACCGACTACAAATTGTTCCCATTTGACATTTTTCTCCATTTCACATCTTCTTGGGATTTAAATTTCCATGGCTACAGGGGGTAGGAGTGGATCAAAGCTAAGTCAGCTCACATGAGTGTTGTTATAACGCCAGCATTGTTAGAAACCAGCATGTTCACTGTGAGCAATCAAGATCGGAAGTGTGTCACAACTGTACTGGCAGTGAGTCACATCCAGGCAGATATTGTATAGTGCATATGCACCCTGCCAAATAAATACACATCTGAGCACATATTACCAGTGTGTGTGTGTGTGTGTGTGTGTGTGTGTGTGTGTATTGGGTGGCCTGGTCCTACTCATGTTGTGGGAACATAAATCTGTTTACAGTTACATTGTGGGGACTTTTCGGGGCTTGATGCCCTCATGGGGACAATGTTTGGCCATCTGGCCTTCATCATTGTCACATTCCCACAGTACAGTTGCTTCTTTAAACATTACATGCAGGTGAATCCTCTTTAGAAAATTAGCCTGTACCTGGTTACGTAATCATGACAACAACAAGCTGGGCTCCTAGGACTTAGGCAAAAGTAACAAGATTTTCAATGTCAAGTGAGGCCCAGCCAACCCTCCAGTTTAACCACATCAAATGGCTTTTTTTGCTAAATAAAGTAAATTCTTGTTACTGAATGCAATCCTACTTTCATATTTGTTGCATAATATTATCAGTATAATGTACCAATTCTTCCTGAGCACGGTGGAACTTGTACGACAAAAAAGCAAGTCCCCAAAATGCAAATCAAAACATTTTAGAGCAATGACTTGGTTTACAGGTATGTGCCAAAAAATTAGAATATCAAGGAAAAGTCCATTTATTTCAATAATTTGTTTCAAAAAGTGAAACTTGTATGTTATATTAGTTCACTACACACAAAGTGAAATATTTCAAGCCTTTATTTGTTTCAATTTTGATGATTATGGATTAAAGACAAAAAAAACCCCAAACCCAGTATTTCACAAAATTAGAATATCATGACAGAATTCAACATTGTAGGCTCCTTGTGTCCCAATCTAGTCAGCTAATTAATGCAAAACACCTGCAAAGGTTTCCTCAGCCTTGAAATTGTCTCAGTCTGGCTTAGTAGGCTTCAGAATCATGGGGAAGACTGCTGACTTGACGGTTGTGCAGACGACCATCATTGACACCCTCCATAAGGAGGAAAAGTCTCAAAAGGCAATTGCAAAAGAAGCTGGATGCTCACAGAACGCAGTATCAAAGTATATTAACAGAGTGTTAAGAAGAAGGGAAGAATGTGGCCGGAAAAGGTGCAAAAGTGACCGCAGCCTTGAGAGGATTGTCAAGCAAGGGCGATTCAGAAATCTGGGGGAGCTTCATAAGGAGTGGACTGAGGCTGATGTCAGTGCATCAAGAACCACCACATACAGACGTCTGCATGACATGGGCTACAGCTGTAGAATTCCCTCCTTAGCCAAGCACAGACGCTTCTGACGTTGTTTTTGGTTCAGGAGTGGCTTGACACATGGAATTCTACAGCTGTAGCCCATGTCATGCAGACGTCTGTATGTGGTGGTTCTTGATGCACTGACACCAGCCTCAGTCCACTCCTTATGAAGCTCCCCCAGATTTCTGAATCGCCCTTGCTTGACAATCCTCTCAAGGCTGCGGTCATCCCTGTCACTTTTGCACCTTTTCCGGCCACATTCTTCCCTTCTTCTTAACACTCTGTTAATATACTTTGATACTGCGCTCTGTGAGCATCCAGCTTCTTTTGCAATTGCCTTTTGAGACTTTTCCTCCTTATGGAGGGTGTCAATGATGGTTGTCTGCACAACCGTCAAGTCAGCAGTCTTCCCCATGATTCTGAAGCCTACTAAACCAGACAGACAAAAACAAGGCTGAGGAAACCTTTGCAGGTGTAAAATCATAGTCCTGTTATAACCAGAGTAACCTAATGATTTTGTCATCACTCTTGTTTCAGTGATGAAAAGTTGGAAGCCCTCAGTGATCAGCTCTTTGATGATTTGAGTTTCTACAATGTTATCTGATGCAGACAGTAATTCATAGGTGCTGACATGGTGTGGACTGTGTTAGATGTAATGGAATGAAACTTTTCAGAGTGAAGCTACAGGTCATCTGTCTTGGATCCCCTCTCCCTTTTTCTCTCTGACAGCCATCAGCTAGGATGAAGTTCGGGTTAGGTTAATGTTAGGTGTTAGGGGTAGGCAAGGTAGTGGTTATATTTAAGGTTAGGGCAAGTCTCCAGGGAATGAATGTAAGTGAGTGTAATGCCCCATTAAGTGATAGAAAAACGTGTGTGTATGTGTGTCAAGGCTGTTTCAGCAAAAATTCTTTTCTTGATTGGAAGTGCCATTAGCACAGTGGGTTCACCTACCCAACTATTACCTTACCTCTCGTTTGGATAAGTGAGGCCTTATTTTAGTTCACTTTTAGTTCTGATCCTGACACTCCTGAGCCCACCCAGGGAACCATTTATGGGGCAGAAAGGCAAAGACAGACAAAGAAAACGCCTTTACTCCTTCCTCATCAAAGCCTCCACAGGGACCCTGTGTCTGCCTTTCTGTTCCCTTCAAATCTCTCTATCAGCTCCCATGTTGCTTTGCAAAAGCAACCAGCGCAGGCTTTTTAATTTCATTGCTCTACCTGGTTGTGGTGGAGATTCTTTCTGACCAGTCAGCCAGAGCAATCGCATGTGTTATTTGCTCTCGCAGCTCAAAAAGTAAAAAGCGGACCTTTGTGTACGTCCTGTCTCTCAACACCTCAGGGGTCAGTTTGGACCTTGCTGGCTTCTTGTTCTGCACTTCTAATTGGGAAACAACATCACTGATCAGTTCACACAACTTTATACACCATTTCTTTCTAATGAGACACACTCTGTAGTGGCCAGGGTAAACTACTTTACAGAGTTCAGGTCTGTGTTCTGAGCAGACTGAAACAAGAAAATACATTTGTACAGTACAGATGTAAGACAAAAAGTGAGAGAAACAATGGAGGTGTTACGGTTCCGCATAGCTCGACTTCCCATATTTACATTTTTGTTCACCTGTTCTCTCCCCACTCCTCTGTCACCGCTATTAGTCATTATTCCACTCACCTGTGCTCATTATCCCCAGGTCCTGTTCCCTGCCATGGGGGTTATGCACAACTTACTTCCGTATACTGCAAAACAGAATCATCCGTTTCCGGTTTGCGACTAGTATGAAACATGGCACTGTTCTATTCAAGATGTCTTCAAGAACTACCAAAGATGAAGATCACGAATGTACACTGAATATACAGTTCGACGTCTAAATCACCGGGCAGCAAGCTGGATAAGGGGTTTGAGCTATATGCTTCTTCATACATCCACGACTACGAAAGTAGAGTTATGTATCGGTTATCTTACAAACGGAGATGTAGCTAAGCTAGTTCGTAAGCTAACTAGCTAATATTATCGATATTTACACCGAGCATCTGTCTGGTACACCAAAATAATGTAATACACTACCGGAAAGCTAATAGTAAC